AAAAAAATGTGGATGAAAGCGGTGCATGCACACACATTCAAAACGGAGAGTGTAGGAAAAAGTTTGTTTTTCTTCTTTTTGCGTCGAGATCAAAGAAGTTCCTTTTTATGAGCAATAGGTCAATATAGCCATAAGTTGCATGTGTTTTAAGTTTTAATACATTCATATAGTATAGTTTTGCACCGTTCTCTAGTTGTTTCAACTAAAGAGGGAGCCGTACAAAACAGATCGAAACGAATATATATCATATGTTTTGCCTAGCTTTACAACATATATGTGCCTAAAGTTGGTTTCACATAATAAACTGAAAAAAGTATAAACTTTTTTTTGCCTTCTCGAGGAAGCGAAGCCAACTTCATTTTCTATTCCCTTCTTTATCCCAAAGCAATGGCATTTTTTTTAGTAATTTAACAAATGAATGAAAAACTTCAAGTATAGTATCAAAGACTAATTAATCTTTCCTTAATAACCATTTGTGATTTCTCCCAGCACATCATTCTCTGCAAAAACAAAAAAACCTAGAAGGATACAAAAAAATCATCAATGGCTCTTTCGCGCTTTAGCAAGAAGAAATATGAGGTGAAACGGGCATTGAAGAGGTTCACTAAGAAGCTCAGATCCAAATTTAGAGACCTCGAGATTGCTGAATCGGTCAGAGATTCGACTTCTCGTCTCCTCCGTGTCATCTCTCGCATTCTCATCGTTCCTTTCAAGACAAGGTACCTTCAAAACACTATCACTCGAACCCATTTTAACAACTACTATAGTCATGGTCACGACAAGAGACAAGGGTTCCGGTTCCTCGAATTCTTCTCTAGTCCTTTCGCCAAAACAAAGTATATTAGAAGGCAAAGTGAGACCAATTACTTGAAAATCTACCAGTACCAAAGCCAGGGGATGATTAGGAGCGAGGAGAAAGTTTCGGGGCGAAAAATGGAAAAAGAAGAAGAAGAGGAGCCAAAGAAGATTGTTGATTCGATGGAAGATGCTTGGAGGAGAGTGGTGGCTGCATCTCCGCACCTTAGGAGGGTGGACGAAAGAGCCAGCGAATTCATCTATAAGTTCAGAGAGGAGATGAGAATGGAGAAAGAAAGATCTTTTCTTGAGTTTCAAGAAAGGTTAAAACGAAG